CGGGTCCCTATGCGTTGCGGAACACTCAGCAGGTTCATGGCCCGGATAATTCGGCAAATCTGCTTCTTCTCTGTTGGTTTCAGCCGTCGAACCTCACTGACTCCCTATGCATTGTGGAACACTCAGCAGGTTCATGGCCACCGAATAATTCGGAATCTATTCTTTTTTCTCTCCTCTCTTACAATTTTCTCTTTCTCTTCTTAATTTCTCTCCTCCGTCGGATCTCTCGGTTTCTTGAAATATTTCAGAGATAGCCTTAAGGTTTACGACTAATGACATTTCCTTCATATTCCAAATCTATTTCTTCTAGTGAGATCTGCATCATCCTCTCTTTCCGACGCTCAGAGACGGAGGCGAGCCCTGAAGAAGGCTCCGTTATCGTCGCAACAAGCGAGCTCGTCGATCAGCCAACTACCTCTCGCCTAGGACATCCGAGGATTTTATGCTGAAGAAACCACGAGTTGTTCCAGCATGACCCTATTCATTGTGCATATCTCCTCTGTCCTATTCCCCGATTAGACCATCCGAATCTGGGTCACCCCCAGATTTCAGCGCACTCTTCCCAGAGCGCCATGACACAAATTTCCAATATCCAGATTTCCGCACCAAGAAATCCTTGGAGAGTTCTGCGAACTCCGAACTCCTTCCCGAAATGCTTAGATCTTTTTTGTTAAGCTTTTTGTCGTGCGAAAAGCTTGGGTTCGATCCCCAACCACTTTTCGCTAGGAGATTATGCTATCCGCTCATATCTCCTTTTTTTTTATTTTTCTTAGAAACATAAAATATACGACTATACCTGACGATGTCTGAAAAATTTAATTAGAATAAATTATCTGAAAAATTTAATTAGAATAAAAATTTTTTAATAACATTTTATTTGCAAAATAAAAATGTTATGGTGCTGTATATTTGTGAATTTTTATCATAGTGCGGGTGTATCTTTAAAAATATGAACAATTTATATATCATTGGACATTACCTCACCTTTTGCACGATATTCGCTCAATTGGTCGGTTGTTTCCGGGTCGTACGCAGATCCAAGTCTCATCTCCAGTTATCATGCGTTTCATCTTGTCCTGGTAGTCAGAAATCATTGTTTCACATACTTCAACGCGACGCTGTTTTTTAAAAAAATTGAGTGTTTTCGGAACCAAACGAGATTTGACTCTTCTCAAGCATAAATGGTCTTTCAAAATGGTCTGAACTGATCCAAATGAAATGTTTACAGTATCGGCAAGTTCTCTAATTGTCAATCGACGATTTTGGAGCACCAAATCCTTGATTTGCTTCACGTGTTGTTCATCAGTTGATGTTTTTGATCGTCTTTGATGTGGTTCGTTTTCTACGCTTTCTCGACCATCTTTCAACATTTTATACTAGTCAAATACTCTTGGTCTTGATAGAGCCTGGTCACCAAAAGCCTTCTGCAACATTCTGAACGTTTCAGTAGCAGAAATTTCATTCCGCAAACAAAATAAAATACAATTTCTTTGCCCAACAGAATCACACATCGTAAAAATCGAAAAAAATACTTTTAGATATTCACAAAAAGCGTTCACTATTAAACAAATGAAGAAAATGACATGAAATTTCACACAGATGTCAAAGACAGTACTATCAACTTAATCAAAAAAATATTTGTCAGAATCGATGAACCCGCGCAGTTTAAATTTAAAAATCTCGTTTATATTTGATCACAGTAGTATATGGCAAAAATGCACAGTTTGGTCTTCCATCTTCAACTTGTTATAAAATCTTCAAAACTCAACCAAATTGCTTTTTTTTTAAGAATGAAGCTAGAACTCAGCTGTCAAATGACATAGCAATAACATACTCGTAGATGCAAATAACTCTAGTACTCCCAAAAATGAACT